ATAAGTTTTTCTATTTTAGATAATTTTAATTTGAATTCGAATAGATAAAAACTATGTAACAATTTTTAATGGATAATTAACATATTTTTTCTTTTTTTAATCTTAAGGGTGCCTCAAGTAAATTTTAAAAAGAGAAGCACCACTGGCAAAAATGTATCATGAATGACTGTTTTATGTAATTTATATAAATAAATAAATAATATTTTAAATAGTTAATATATATTTTTATTGATAACCCCTTTTGTTATTTACAACTTCATTTGGAGTTTAGTATTTAAAACTTTCTTCTTATTATTTATGATCCTTTTTTATTCATAATCCTTGAAAAATAAATAAAATAAAATTTATTATTCATAATCTTTCTTTTTTATTTTTTATTTTATTTTTTTCCCTCGTTTGGATAGTTTATAAATATATAAAACATAACATCTTCTTGGTTAATATATAAAACATAACATCTTCTCACTCCATACAATTATTTTTTCTTTCATTATTGGTGATGTAAAATAATAAATAATAATAATCAAATGAGATGATCTAAAGATCGAAGAGGAAGTAATTTTTTTTTTTTTATGTTTGTTAGATTGATTTAATATTCAATCTCCAAGATGACATATTCTAGACTAATAGAAAGGTTATGAGAAATAAGGGATTGTCATATCTCCAAAATTATTTTTTAATTGATTGTATGAAATAAGGGATTGCCAATAGATAATAGCAATTTTCTTTTAAAATTATATATATATTTTATTAATTCACACCAATGATTAGTGGCTGTTAAATATGTGGATTGGACATATATTAACATGAGTATATGCATATGAAAGATATAAATATCTATATATACAAATGTAAAATCTAAACTTTTAGAGGGTTATGGAACTTTAAATTTGGAGGAGTAAAATGCTAAACTGTGAAAGGATAAATATGTAAAACATCCTTCAATAGAAAATCCAATCTTTCTCGGCAGTTTGTTGCTCGCTTCCCTACTTCGCCACTTCAAACCCTCGCCTTTTGTTCCCTTTCCTTCGTGAAGTCTCCCTCGTGTTCTCGCCGCGTCGATCCGTCCCTTCTATCTTCTCCGGACCAGCGATGGCAGCGTCCTCCTTCTCCGCCGCTGAGTCCCTCCGCAGGGATCGGATCCTACCCGGCAAGCTCTACTTCGACGTTCCCCCGTCCAAGGTCGCCGTCTTTTCGCTCGATCTCCTCTTCGCTGCAATTCTTTCTACAATTGTTGGTTCCTGTGATTCGATTCTTGAACGGATCTCAGGTGCTGGTGATCTACTCGTCTTCCTACGACATCGCGTTTCTTGGAATCGAGAAGATGTAAGCAGATTATCATTTAGTTTATACTAGTTATTTTATGCTTTCTTGTCGATTCATATTTTCATTCGATCGCTTCTTTTGCGTCATCGTAATTAGGGTTCCGACTTTTTTGGGGAGCAAGGGGTGTCACCAAATTATGGGTTCAACGATGTTGAATTACTATTTTGACTGGGTGGAACACCAAATTTATCTATAGATCACGAAGATCGTGTTTGTCTAGTCCGGATAGAGTGGAAGTTTGAAAAACTCTATCAAAGTCAGATTCCAATTTATGTCAGTAGGGTTCAGAATACGGTAACTCCTTGAACGGCTTGTTTTCAGTACTCTTTTTGGTCAGTGGACTCGAAGGTTTAGGTGGTAATGTCATTCATGATTATTCACACTGGTCGTTCATGGGAAATAGCTTCTAGGATTGCAATTTGTGCTGTAAGTGGGTGGTTTGTGAGGGATGTATACTCAACTTTGATTATTGTGAGTTGAGGAGAGTAAATATCTGTAATTTTTCTTAAATCTGTAAGTGCATTTAATATGTACGTTTGGAATGAAGAATGACAAATATTATATATGTTAATGACTGTGATCAGTACTATGCTAAAACAGCAAAATTTGTAGCAAAATTGGTGTAGTGACAAGCCTGTGCTGCTTAAAGTTATAACTGATCACTAATTTTCCCCTTTATGATCATGCTTCTATAGAGAACAAGAAACCAGCTGGATAAACACATCACTGAAGTTATCCAACTATATTTCCATTGTAATATCTAAACGGGTGCAGATAATAGCAATCAAGACATAAGTTGTTAATAGGTCTAAATAGCATGGTTTTCTGTACCGCCCGAGTCAGTATGGTATGCGCGTTACATACCGGCCTAACTCGCTACCAAGATGCGGCTCGCCTAAGTCTTTGTCAGCATGCCTCGGTGTAACATGTGTTGGCACATCGATACAGACTGATACTTCCCGTATTGACAAATTTCTGAGATGGGTTTGGAACCCTGCTAAATAGAACTCTAGTTGTACCCAAGTCATCACTAACAGATAATAACAAGTGATTGTGATACAACTCAATTGATGTTAGAACTTAGTCAAACGTAATCCCGTTGGACCTGTTTGCAATCTTTTCTTTTTCTGCAAATTGGCTGTAAATTAGTTCTTATACTGATTTGATTTGATTTTATTTTATTTAAAAATATTCAAAATTTCCAAGTTGTAGTCGTGAGTTGTGACAAGGGAGTGCTATGATAATAATGTGGAATAAAATAAGGAATTTGATTGAGGAAAAGGAAATTAAAGGGAGAGGCGACTTGGATAATAACAAAAATAGAAGAGAGACAAAATAAGATTATAAAGGCTTACTCAAAGTCTCAAACTATATATGTCAATTCCATCTCACATGAAGAATGAGCATCTCACATACGTAAAGAACTACTTACTCTGCTACGAGGTTATTCCTTCCCCTCTTCCCCACCCCCAACCCACTGAAAAGAAAATATTATTTAGCATTTTTTGATCGTCATACATTTAACCTATTTCATCCAGGCATCCATTTGATCGTTCTAAATGGGATTGTGTTTGCCAGTGGTTAAGTAAAGAAGGTTTTTTTGGAGAAGATACAATCAGTAGAACCATTAAAAGCTTCAAAAGATGACTTACTAGTGGTACGAAGTGCTTCTGTGCTTACTTAATATATAGATCTACATCTACTAGTGACTCTTTTTAATACATGGGGTTAACATGTTTTTCAATCAGGTGCATTCAGAATCATTCTTGAATTAAAAGTAGTTTAAATATTTCCATTATTATTGAGGTGATGCTTTTCCTCTGTCTTGGATACATATATCTTTTCTGAGGCATAAATAATTTGAATTTTTTTTCAAGATAGTATTGACTACGGATGATGTATGAGCAGAAATTATGCTACTTTCTCACAGGAGTCTGATATCTGGTGATGTAACATAATGTCAGTCATAAAACTATAATAAT